AATAACATCTTTGTTGAAATCTCAGTCTACCGACCTATTTCTTTTTTCACATAGAATATGAGAAGTCTTCTTACTTTTTTAAAATCTACATTCAAATGGATATCAATCAAAGCAGGAACACTAAATTAACTATGACATGGTAATTTCTTGTAATCTATTTTCAAAAAAATCTTATCTGTCAATATCAAAAGCAACATCGATAATTATCATAAACTTCTCTATCCAATAGTACGCGAAAATCTTTAGATAAAGGATATACTAGACATAATTAAACATTCTTAGATATTATTTAGAATCTCAAAAGAATTGATATATTGGCACGAAAATTTATAACTAGATTTCAGGACTTTTAGCTGAAAATATTAGAAAACTATAAAATTTTCTATATTGTTTTGTTTTTTTTTCTAAAGACCTTCAGAAGAAGTATTAAGATGAGAATTCTTTTTGTTCTCAACAATAAATTACTTTTTCATCAAGTGATTCCAGTGTACAAGAAGCGCAACAAATTTAATAATTTTCTCTTAGAAAAAAGAAAAGAACAATCTAAAATCTTACTTTGATTTCATTGTCTAAGAAGTTTAATGCATTCTTCAACATCTCCTAATAGCATTGGAATCTGATCTTGTAAATAAATAAAAGTTAATTTTTCCCAACAATCTTTACCATCTAATTTTGGTCGAACTTCTATATGAAAACAAAAAAAACAATATTTTCATTAACTTTTGTTCTATAAATAGGTAAATCAACTGTACAAATAACTCCATGATCACCATTAATAAGGGCATACTTTATCATTTGACCATATTGCTTTTTCTTATACTTGTTAATGAGCGCTTTTGTTGAGCATCATATAAAATAATATCATAATTTTCACGAATTAATAAAAGACGTGTACCAACCTAAAAAATTAATGAAAAAATTTAAAAAAAGAAACAAATTTAAACTTACAATATAATTTTTTTATCAAGAAAAATAAATTGATTTCGAGCAACCCATATAGCATTCAAATCAGACAAATGACGCCCTTCAGGTTGACAAGTTGCAATAATTACAATAAATTCATATTTTACATATTAAAAATTGCGAATATATGATAAAAATTTTTCCATGTTGCTGCTGATCTATCGAACAAAGAGAAAAGAATTCAATGATGAACACATACTTGAATACTGTGTGTTCGTCTGCTTCGTGTGCTCACAAACGAACATGACACAGACAAGAATGAAAAACAGGCCTAGACAATAATGTTTTTTTCTTTTCTTCTCTCGTCCGTAAGTTATGCTTCATGTTGTCATTGATGATCAATGATAATATGACATAATGAGTGTGTACGTCAATTAAGCATTATCCATACACATACATTGAGATAGAGCCAACTGGGGTAAATGTATAGATTTTTTTTCATTTTTCACTTTTACACTTCATATCTCTTTTGCTATAGATAATAGAAAAAAATTTTCTTCACAAGTAATGTAGCACAAACATTTTTCTTTCGTTTGCTGTTTTCCGATTTTTGAAATCTTGTCGAACACCAAATCTACACGTATTTTAGTGAGACCTACTAAGCCGTTATACATTTACCTCATTGTGGGGCTATTGTATAATCCGTCATCATCTATTGGGGCGAATGTATAATGTCTATTAATTTTGGCTTGCACAGTAAAATCAAAATTTATAATCGATGCTTACATTTACTAAAGATTGTTTTTACATCAGCTTGTAGCGCAATCATTTCTCTATAAGTCTATACTATTCTTACTTAATGATAGTAAATCAACTCGATCACGAAGCTGTTTCCCGAGAGCACTGTCCGAAAAAAAATAAAAAAATTCATCGTGTATGGGGTAAATGTATAATCACATAGACATAAATAGGGGCGAATGTATAAGCCCAGCTATTTTTGCTGGTATCAGTAAAACTGAATTTTTTTCAAAATAAAAAAAGATTTCAATGATATTTTTTTTACAGAAATGTTCTTCATAAAAAACTACACAGGACCAAACCATTTTTTAAGTCATTTCTCTACTAATTTTTCAATATGATAGAGATAGTATTTATGAAAACGGTAAAACAATGGAAAAGTCATTTTTTTATCAAGAATATTTTTCAAAAATAATTCGATATTCGGAATCAGCATTAAATTCTGAATAAAATGATGTATTTGTTTCCATCGAAAAACGACTTATATTTTTTATCGATTTTTTTGGCACCTGTAGGAGACCTCAGGGTCGAGTGAAAAAAAGTTTTTTTTCAGCTTTACTCAACTTTAGTAAATTTACCATCGTTTTACTCAGAATTTAACGCTGATTCCGAATATCATAACCGTACCACTTAAAAAATTACTACGATAATGGAAATATTGAAAATATCAAATACTAATAAACCAACTCCGCGATAATTTCGAGGTTTTATTAGTGAAAACTAATTCAACTTTAGCAAATTTACCATCATTTTACTCAGAATTCAATGCTGATTCTGAATATCATATCCTTTTTGGTTCATAAATTAGTTTTCACTAATAAAACCTCGAAATTATAGGTAAGTTGGTTTATGAGTATTTGATATTTTCAATATTTCCATTATCGTAGTAACTTTTGAAGTGGTATGGTTATGATATTCGGAATCAGCATTGAATTCTGAGTAAAATGATGGTAAATTTACTAATATTGGCTAAAGTTGAAGAAAATTTTTTTTTTCACGGGACCCTGAGGTCCCCCCCAGGTGCCAAAAAACTCGATAAAAAATAAAAGTCGTTTTTCGAAGGAAACAAATACACCATTTTACTCAGAATTTAATGCTGATTCCGAATATGGAATTATTTTTGAAAAATATTCTTGATGAAAAAATGGTTTTTCCATTGTTTTACCATTTTTATGAGTACTATCCCTATTACATTCAGGAATTAGTAGAGAAATGAGTAAAAAAATGATATGGTCCTGTGTAGTTTTTCATGAGGAACATTTCTGTAAAAAAATATCATTGAAATCTTTTTTTATCTTTAAAAAAAGTTAGTTTTACTGATACCAGCAAAAATAGCTGGGTTTATACATTTACCCCACAAGCGCAATGATGATTATACAATTACCCCATGTGGGATAATTGTATAAAAATTTTTTGTTTAGTGCTCTGTTTCTAAGCTCTATAAAACATTGAATTTAGGACTTATAATTTTAAGATTAATATAGATCGATAGAAAAGAATTTGAACTATCGATTGGTGAAAAAATCAGAAAAAAATAAAGTACCAATCGCTCAAAAGTTTAGTTTTACTGACACCAGCAAAAATAGCTGGAATTATACATTTACCCCACTGACGTCAACGTGATTATACATTTACCCCCGACGGGGTAAATGTATAATCGAAAATTCGCAGCCAGAAAACACCTCGTAGATAGCTCTGCTCACAAGATTTTGAAAAATGGATTTCACCAATCGATAGAGAAAAGTGTTAGCTAGATGACTAGTGAAGAAAATTTTTTGAAATAATGAAAAATAAAAAAGTTATAGCTAATATACTGAACCCGTCTGATTTTTTTCTACATTTACCCCCACTTACTCTATCAATTAAGCATTATCCATACACATACATTGAGATATTTGTGATTGAATTTATCTCAATGTACGTGTGTATGTTTGTTGATAGCTTAATTATTATCTTCTTTTCATCACTCTCTGACGAGAAAAAAAACACAAAAATTATCGATTTTTAACATATAAATATGAATGATTTTCTGTGTAAAATCATTCAATTTATTGAATCAAATAATAATCTTTTCTTTTTATATTTTAGATTGGCTTCAATGATACAAAATTATACAATTCAAATCAATACAACACAATAATAAAATGTAGGTATCAGTTTTTATTTTTTTTTCTTTATTGGATCATACAGAGGGTGGTAAGTTCTCTTGTGATCTTTTATATTCATGTTTTTATTTTCCTGCTAAAGACGTCATCATTCAACATCAACGGGTGAGTTAATTTTTTTTTCTTTTTCTTTTCTTTGTTGAGATGAGAATAGTTAGGATGAGTGAGGTACGTTGAGTTTAGGGTTTCGCTTTATAAGAAGGACTTCCAGGTAGTCCCTGAAAGCCTGACCAGGAACTGTCTTGGTGTCCGTGGCACACTATCGGGCCTCCAGACTGACTGACATATGACATCGGATGGGTGCATGTGGATGATGTGGGTCTTCCCGCGCGTGCAAGAGCATTACGCTCGCCACGGCTCCACCAGGATGGTTCCTGGTCGCGCACGCGAAGAGAATAGAATAGATTTCAATGGATTTTTTCATTCAATCACACCCAGGTGAAAAAATCTTATGATGATCGTATAAGATCTTACGGACCATCGGATATCGTAAGATTCATACTGTATGATCTTACAGAATCGTACAAAAATCTTACTGTAAGATTCTTACGAAATCTGATGATCAGATCGTATGAGACCTTGTACGATCGCATAAGATCTGATCATCAGATTTTGTAAGAATCTTACAGTAAGATTTTTTATAAAATCTGATGATCAGATCTTATACGATCGTATAAGATCATAATAATAAGTTTGTCTTGTGTAAATAATTTTTATAACGATAGTTTCATGTATTTAAATAAATTCTTAAGCGATTAAATACGTTCTAATTTAAATGATGCATCCTTTAGTTTTGAAAATACATCTTCTATATATTAGTGTCTATCTGGTAAAAAGTTACACCACTTGTTAAATCAGTTTGACCAATCAAATTTATTGTTGTTTTAGATAGTAATGTCGAATAAGTTATTTTTGCACTCCAAGTACATAAAAGATAGGAGAACAGATAAAGACATTGTACGTATATCATCAGAAACAATAAGGAATCGATTCTTACTTTATCTTATTTTTTCTCTTCCTAATATCCGACACATTCACCGACGTCTTCTTATAAAATGACGAAGAATCTTCTCGTCGGTGTTTTTAGTCTATTTTATCTATTCTATGATGTACGAAAGTAAATTGCGCACATCATTGTTAAATAAGTCTATCTTGTCTTTATTACTTTGATTTTCTTGTCAGGTGTAGATGTGATTAGTAAATTTTTATTAAAATGAATCAACAAAAGAGAATCAATGATTTGATAGAGATAGGTCGTCAGAGAAAGAAGAAAAGATTAGATTTACAACGTAAAAATTACAAATATCATACTGATTTAGCAAAGAATATTGTTGAAAGTTTCACTACAACAGCTAACCATTTCACAGTTGAAGAAGAAAATGATGAATTTAAATGGAATGATTCAATTAGTACTTTGTACAATAATACAAATGGAACAGGTAGTTCCATTATCACAAATTATGATCCATATTTACACGGTGAATATTTACAAGATGTAAATAATAGTGCATTTTTTACGTCAAAAGCAATTGTTCAAGAGCAAGAATTAACATCCAGCAATAGTTCAAATTATTTGAATAGGGATAACAGTAAAACATTTGAAAGTTTTACAATTCAAACTGAAGGTAAGCTTATATAATAGCGTTGATTTATAGTATTTATTTTAATTGAATTATCTTTTATTTTATTTTAGATCATATGAACAATTGGTTCAATCAAAGCAAGTATTGATTTAATTTAAATTATCCATTATTTTTATTTTAGATGATAACCACAGTAGATCCAAATAAAGTAAGCATTTTTTTACTTTAAATCAGTTATTTATTTTTATTTTAGACAACAACAACGATTAAGCCAGACACAATAAACATTCATTTAATAAAAGATTTTTTTTTACATAATTTGATGTATTTAGTGGATTTATTAGTTTATGAATTAAAATCAAAATTATTTATTTATTTCGACCGATCATTTAGTCAATTGATTGTTTATACATTAAGATTCAAATTATTAATTTACTTATTTATTTATATCAATTGGTGTATTTAGTGGATTTATTGGTTACGTATTAAAATTAAAATTATTTATTTATTTCAATTGATGTAGCTATATAAATTTATTGTTTATTAATTAAAACCAAAATTGTTTATTTATTTGATTTGATTCGTTTATGTCACTTTATTGGTTATGGGTTAAAATTAAATTTATTTATTTAAATTGATGCATTTGTCGAATTTATTGATTATGAAATAAAATTATAATTATTTATTTATCTAAGTTGATGCATTTATGAGAATTTATTGATTATGAATTGAAATTTTATTTATTTATTTATTTATATTGATGCATTTGTGAGAATTGATTGATTATGAAATGAAATTATATTTATTTATTTATTTATTAATATTGATGCATTGAATGAATTTATTGATTATGCAATGAAATTTTATTTATTTATTTAAATTGATGCATTTAATGGATTTATTGATTATGAATTGAAATTATATTTATTTATTTATTAATATTGATGCATTTATGAGAATTGATTGATTATGAAATAAAATTTTATTTATTTATTTATTTACTAGCGGAGATACCCGATGTATAGAGATGATACGATAGCATATATCTCACGGATGATAATACGATGTTGCCACAGTCCTCAACAGTTATTCATCTGCAATATCATAAGCTACACTCGAATCTTTTCTTTTTTAATTTTAATATTTAACATATTAGAGCCGTTATAGACTTTTTTTCTTTTTTATATTTTTATTGATGAACTTCTTCCAAGCAAAAAAATCAAAATAGAATTTTTCATTGTAAAGCTGTTTTGTACACGACGTTCTTCGTTTTTCCATCTGGAGCAAAAACATACAAATTCTTTCCGGTTCCTACTCTCGAGCATGCCACATAAAGTTGACCATGAGAAAAGCAAGAAGTTTCTAAATTGACACCAGCAACTTTAAGTGATTGCCCTTGAGCCTTATTAATAGACATTGCGAAGGCAAGCCGTACTGGAAACTGAAGTCGTGTAAATTCGAATGGTATATCAGAAGGGAGCAAAGGTATTTTTGGTATGAATACATCTTCACCTTTTGCACAACCTGTCATGATCGTTGCTTCGATTACATGAGGCATTAGAGTTTTGACACATAGCCTTGTACCATTACATAATCTTGGTGCATCCAGATTTCTTAGGAGCATAATAGATGATCCAATTTTCAGACGCAAGTTATGTGGTGGCATTCCAGAAGGTTCGAGTGAATTGAGAAACTCAGTTGGATACTGAACTACCATGTCGATATCTTTAATTGTATCAATTGATTTGTAAGATATAGCTTCACCAGGAAGTTGTTGCTGTATTTGTAGATTGATAGCATTTACATTGACGTTTTTCGGAGCCAGAATAGCACGTTCACATAACCATTTGTGATCCTTGTAGTGAGTTTGAATGTTTGGAAACACTTTATTCTTGAGTTCTTCGACTGATTCAACGATATTGCAAAAGTTGTCTGAAATATTGATGAGTCCACTGACTGGGTCAGCAGGTATTTCGCCATTTCCAATTGCGAGAAGTTGTTCAGCGAAACGGCCGGCAGATACGTCACCTTGTAAGTGCACTCTCATGTTAGTACTGAGTTTAAATGGTACAACATGTCTCCAAAGATACGAAGATTTCAAGCAAGCTTTTAGCTCATCAGCCATAGTACCCTTTGGAATAACTGGTAATGTTTGTCTAAAATCGCCAGCAATCAGTACAACTACTCCACCCATATTCTTTCCATTGTTACGAAGATCCTGTAGGGAATGGTTCAAAGCTTCTAATGCATACCTATGAGCCATTGTGCACTCGTCCCATAAAATAAGTTCACATTCTTGCAGAACCTTTGCTTCGCTAGTTCCTTTGGTAATACTACAGACATGAGTTTGATTTTCCAAAAACTTAAGAGGTAACTTTAATGTCGAGTGCGCAGTACGGCCACCTTGAAGCAGCGTTGCAGCGATACCGGAAGAGGCGACCGCAATCGCAATCTTTGACTGATGCCGGATTTTAGCCAATAACAAATTAATGACAAATGTCTTTCCTGTTCCACCAGGTGCATCAAGGAAGATTATTCCACCAGCTTTCTTCTCGATCTGATTCAAAATCGCATTGTATGCAGCTCTCTGATCCGGCACTAACAGTGGCTCATTTGCTGTTATATAAGCATCCAACTCTTTCACATCATAACTTGTTTCTCTGAGCATTGCACTGTTTAATCGATCACCCGAATTTCGTTGAGGAGTTGGAAGCTCTAATTTCTCAAGTTCTTTGCCACCCATCTCTAAAACTTTATTTTCAATAATAATCAGTGCTTGATTAAACATATCTGGTGTATAATCCAAATTCATTCCAGGATTTTGTCTGCGAGCATTTCTCAGAATGTCTTCAGTCAAGCTTTCTTTGTACGACTCCCATAATTGTTTTGGATTCGATGGTCCACAAACAGCTAGTATAAGAGCAAATAGATTTCTCAATCTTGCTGGTGATTGAGCTGCAGCTGCTTCGGACATAGTGGCATCCCATTGCTGATCATCTTCCAGTAATCCCTGTAATTGACATGCTTCACGAAATGTTGCACAGATCTGACCGTTTACAGTTCGAAGAGCTTCAAATGAAGTAGGGCCTCTGACCACATGAAGTAAGAGTCGTAGGAAGAAGCATTCGAAATTATTAGGATGCACAGTGTAAACACGACCTAATGCATCTCCTTCTCTAATGTCTGGATGACCAAGCACAGCAGTTCCTTGAACGCGCCGCTTAAACACTTTTTCAGACGCGTTCCATGTGTAGTATTTTGGAACATCACAGTACAACAGCGTTTTGGCAAAGTCGTCTTTCTGGCAGAGTAAGAAAAATGCTGTTAGTGTTGTTCTTGGTGGTTCATTAACTTTCTCATGAACATTATCTTCGGTGAAATAAATACGTTGACCATTTTCCAAATGAACAGCCAAATGAACAACAGTTGGATATCGTTCGTGAATCGGAAAATCTAAGATTCTCCAGACTGCCTCATTGCTACTAATGTATCTACCTAACTGGTAGTTACTAATTTCATCAACTGATGTTCCATCTCTTCCCAAACCGAACACTGCCTGATCACTGCCCTTGTTGACATATTTGCAGATGTATTTGATTGATTTTACCGAGTTGCAATATTCCACATTAATGTGGGCTTGAAAGATCCGAGAGAGTAGTGGACAATATGGCACAACCCACTTGTTGTCAATTTCAATTTCTTGAATGGAGTTATTAATTCTCATTTTGATTTTGGCTTTGATACCACCATCTTCTGAACTTCTTCTTCTATACGATGGATATCCATTGTCACCGGTTTCTGTATCATGCAAGAGTTGTTTTAGACATCTTTTTGTACACTTTTTGTTTTCCATACACGGAGAGTTTGAATTGATACTTCCACATGGACCGTGAATCATAGTCTTGATAATTATTTCAAATAGTCGAGGATCTCGTTCAGGATCAGGTAGTTCTGCGCTGATCACGCTATCTATTTGATCCGCTTTAATTTTGTTCTTCAGCCATATCAAAATATGAGCATGTGGTAGTCCTCTCTTTTGCCATTCAATAGAATACATCCAGCATCTTTTTGGCCCAAATACATGGCTTTTGGTAATAATGTTGACCAATTTAATGAGCTTTTGTCTGAATACTCTTGCTAATAGGTCATGACGATCAGAGGGAGCTTGACCTTCCATTAATTCTTCTTGAATTTCTCGCCACTTAGGATTGCAGGTGAATGTTATAAAGAGGTCGGGTCTTCCGTGGTTTCTTACATAAGTCATAGCGTCTTGTGTATACTCATGCATGTGCCGCGGGCTTCCAGTGAAAGTTGCTGGTAGAATCACTAATTGATCAAGATTGTCAGCTCGTCCATCATTGGCTATAGCATCTTTCAGGTGAATGTATTCATCCACTCTAAGCTTTTTTTGATTATAACGTAGAAACGATAATCTTTCACTTTCGATCTTAGCGTACATGTCAACCACATACTGATGGAAAAGTTGTCGGCACTGTAAGATATGATTGACAGCGCCAGTTCGTACCATAATTCTGTAAGCATAAAAACTCATAGCCGACACTTTTTTGCCAGTGACAGCCATTCCAGTAGTTGGATCAGTCTGTTCGATAAGAAAATGGTAGCCATCCTCACCTTTCCAAAAGATGAGAGGATATTGCAAGGCATCATACGATCTGTGTGTCTCAGATACTCTCTGTAACTGGCCATTTTTCTTCTCCAAGACAATATCTCGTTTCTCAAAGTCGTTGCCAGCGATGACAACCGCCACCTCATTTGTCACTGGCTCATTGAAACGACGTGCATGCTCTCCAGCAGGTTTCATGTCTGCTCGAATAAGCACCTTGTATTGATCTGTAGGCATTCTTTGAAGGGCAGTCTTGAAAAGATCAACATAAATGTGGTGCTCATGAACCATTCGCTGCAGTTTCTCCACAATGTCTTGACGTACGCCAGGCATGTTTTTGCAACGTTGTTGTACTTCTTTTCGATCGTCGCCCATGAAGTAAATTTGAAGAAATTTATGTTCTTCATTCGAAGGCGGCAGCAGAGATCCTACACGATGATATACTTGACCCTGAACTCTGAAAGTAGGCATGAAGCCTGAGTCAGACATTTTCTCTGACATGCCAAAAGATGTCATTTGAAAGCAGGAATTATATTTTCTAATGTTATCCAAGAAATGCTTCGATTCAGGCGTTGTTTCTGACATTAATGATTTCAGTGGTTCAGGAGGAGGCTGAAGTTCAGGTAACTTTACTTTACCACCAGAACAGCACATACCTCGTGTTTCTGCATGCCACTTGAGGGCATTACAGTATGGACAAACATCGCTCATTTGTCCAATATAAAGTTGAGGATGGCTGTCATAGTTGTTGGCTGGACCATACCGAAATGCTTCCCCTTCCATAAATGTCCATTGCGCTGCCCTTGAGGCTGCTTGTCGTCTACGCTGATCTTCACTTCGAGTCCGTCTCTGTATCGGATTCTCAGCTGCCCTTGAAGCTGCTTGTCTTGCACGTTGACCATCAAGTCGAGTGCGTGTGTCTTCAGAATGTTCAGCTGCTCTTGAAGCTGCTTGTCTTGCACGTTGACCATCAAGTCGAGT